CAAACTAAGTACCCTGCTTTTTCTTGTAAAGTAAAATTGGTGGAGAGAAATAACCAAGACTGTTCTTTTCCAGTTTCATTCAATTAGCAGGGGTTCAAATAAAAAAACAAAGAACAGTTCTCATATGCAGACCATCTGAATTAATTTGGCTTGCATTGAACAAAAACATACATTTGCATAAAATGAAGAAGTAATATTCTCAAAAGTATTCTAGCATTGTGTGTAAATGAAGCCAGTCACAGGCAGTAATGTTGTCTATGAACTCCGACATTTTATTCTAAACTGAACAATTTATTAAAAGAAGGAAGCCAAAACAAAATAATATTTTGCAATCTGCTTTTGTTGGTATATGAAAGTATTCAGTCTTAATTTATACAATTTAGTATGCATGTGCTCTGGTGGCCCACTTGTTTGATGACCTGTCTATTAGTTAATTCAAGGTGATGATCACAGAATATTTTAAAATTTTATTGAAAAAAGAAAAAATTCTCCTTTTTATAGTTCATGACATCAAGCCAGACTCCACTGAACTTTACTTGAAAGGCTAGTAAGTATACTAGAAATTTTAGTATGTTGTATGTTAAAATTTTTCCATTGTTTGAATTTAATCAAACAGATTTTTTTTTTTTTACAGTGAAAGGAAAGTGTTAAAGTTGAAATTAAAATTAGATGTAGCTGAAATTAATGAAGCAAACAGTAGGTGTATTAATGTATTATACAACTGTTTAATGTGTTCATTTGTATTGATAAAAACAAGGTGTCCTACTTAGTTATTGTGTTCGTTGATTTAGTTGTGTTTGTGATTTATTTATCTCAACACTTGGCTTGGCTGACCTTGAAATGTTGCTGACTTGGAGTAAAATTATAAACTATAGAGAAATAATCATTTCAGGAATAAAATCTTAGTAAATGAGTTCAAAATATTTCAGTAGATGTAATTTTATAACATATGAAATTATTGGCATTGTTGTCAATAAATGTACGAACATTATAATTCAGCTATATGAAAACATGCTTAACCTAATGCACCAATATCCTGTTCTATGTTTGCTTGCTGAACAGTTTAACTACTGAATTTTGACATCAAGTTAAACTACTGGTTAGCTTTTTATGACTTTTTTGGTGTTGTTGGAATTTCTATTATGTTCAATTGTTAGTGTTTATTATCTGAAAATAATTTTGTAATTTATAATGACAGTGAGCAGTGGGTTCATCATGTGCATGAAAAGATTAAAGATACTTCATTAGTAGGGAGTTGGAAAGTTTTAGTTGGTGATCAGGACCAAGTAGGTGAGTGAATATTAATCTTACGAGTCATAGTTGGATCTGGTTTTTTTTTGGTTAGTTTATATATTTGTATCATGGTAGAATCTTTGTAAGGAAGGGATGTTTCTTTAGTATAATATCTTTTTTACCTTTTCACATCATAACATAATGATAAGTACACTGGTTAACAAACTATATGCTGTCTTAGTACTTTATGGTGTGCAAAAACATAGCTTAAATAGTGTTATAATTATTAAATATTAAAAATTATTTGTATCTAGTATTATATTTCCTGCTATAATGAAATAAATGCTACTAAATAGATAAATGTTTTTTTTATACACTGTAAGTTAATATATTAGTTTTTTTGTCATTCAGGAAGCTGTGATATTCTGCAGAGACTAAGAAAATTATGGAGCTTAAATATGTATAGCACGATGCTGCCTGACTCATGTTTTAGAATGTTTTGATTAGTTGTTATCTGTGTTACTGTGTGCAAATTGGTTGAAATATTAAAATTATTGTATATGTGTGCTGCAGTTCTACTGATGGATGATTATTTTCCAGAAACAAAAGTTTTTTTGGATAATACACTGAAGTTACAGAAAGCAAAATGCGATATTTTATTGGAAAGTGAAGATAAAAAGTCTGTTACTGTTTGTGAAATTGAGAATTTTTAGTGACAGAATATCCTGTATCAGCTTTTAAATAGTCCAGAGAGAGTTCTGTACTGTAATTTTTTTGCATCAGCAACAAAATGCCATGCTTGGGACATAGAAGACCAAAAGTATTTGTTTGGAGTTTTTTACTCACTATTAAGATGGTAAAAAAGACTAACTACAAATTTGTTTAGTGATTATGGAAGTCATGTTAACCATATGATAAAACAATTATTAAACTTTTGTCCTAGGTGTCTTATGATTTTGAAGGAGAGAATTCAAGAGAATCATCAGGATGAGTTCAGTTCTGTTCATACTCTCACGTGGTCCTTTGATTCATTAGAGCATAATCTAAATCACTCCAGAACTGTCAGAGTGCACCTATTGAGTTTGAAGATATTTAAATTGATAGTTTGAATGAAGGTTGAAGTAGTTCACATTTTCCACTCTTATTAAATTGTGAAGCACCAGAAGCTTGCATAAAATTAAGGTTAATGGATTCTTCATCTTAACTGCTTGTGCTATTTTTGAGAACAATGCCTCCTCCCCACACCTCACCCAGTGTGTTGAGGTTCATCAATGCTGGTGAATGGATGAAAGGCAGGCTATGTGAAATAACTCATGTACTCAGTCTAAGCAATATGTACTAGCTGCCTTATTTATCACAACAGAAAATACTTCTAATGCTGTCGGCTAAGTACTAATGTTTCTAATTGATACAATAATCATTGCCAGAAAGAAATTACTACAACTTAAGTAAATACTGTCACAAAGCTCTGAGAAGAAACTATAACAGTAAATAAGCACAATGACCTGTTGTGAAATAAATATAATGCTGAAAAGAATATCACTCATTCCCCTATAAAGATTTAATTATAATATTGGAGGTACACATTCACTTGCATGCAAAGAAGCAACAACACTAGTGTGAAGACCTATTAATCTATACAGAAGGAACTACAGGGTTGTAAAAGATATTCAGCTCATGTTCATTAAGCAACCCATTACTAAGAAATTTATCATGATAACACCAATGTACTAGATGATGTTGGCTTTTATCTGTTTCTTTTAGCTTTTGTGAGTGATCCATTTTATGCTTGTCTATTCATATATCATTATATGGTGACAAATGCTTGTTTGGGATCAGAAAAAGTAACTATATCTGTTTCCATCTTGTCAAATAACTGTTCCACAGGCTCAAGGAGCTGGATGAATTTTGAGCTTTTACATCCAAACCATATCTATCCCACAATTTTTGGCAGAGATTTTAAAACAACAAACAGAAACTGCACCTTTTATAGCAGCTAAATGTAGAACTTTCTTGCAAGTTTGAAGGTCTTTGACACACTTCAGAGATGAAGACAATCAAACTGCACAATATTTACTGACCTTTGATGGAATGAAGTGCTGGAGTAGTTAGCACTTCAAAATAACTCCTGATACTTGTTTTTTAAGAACTTAACAATGTATTTGCCTTTGAGAAAATGTGAAATGAATATTTCTGCATCATATGAATGACAAGCCCATTACTGTAGTACAGGAGTAGATACTCTTTCATCAACATTTCCTAAAGGCCTTCAGAAAGTCTTATTTAATGTTACATGCTTGAACATCTTAGTTAATTACTGTTGAACCTCATTAATATGAACTCAGTTACAATGAAAAAACGAACAATACAATTGACACCATTATAAATAAACATCATTTAAAACAAAGTCAATTACTACAAAACCCCATTTCCAGTGAACTGATTTTTGTAATAAAATAATAGGTTTTTCCCACGTAGAGCAAACGTTTGTTTTACAACACAAGCTGGGAACCACAAAAGGACTGACTACATAGATTAATTGCTTTGTGTTGGCATGAGATGTAAGCATTTAAACTGTTAATATGACAAGCCAAATGGAAACTCCCCATTAAGAAGCCATTGTTTTAAAAGCAGAAGTTTTGCAGTTTTAGCATGATTAGTTACTGCAAAATTACTCCTGCAGATTCATGAATAAAGTGTGAAATAGTGGTGCTACGATTTTAGGTAAATTGGAGCAGATTCATCATCGAACAGCACTTCATGCTTCATCATGTCAACAACTTGTGTATCTATTAAGTGGTGTGTTCTATCACTGGACTACAAAGTCCAAATGGTCAAAGCTATCGAGTCTGGTATTCATCATGGTGATGTCTGTAGAAAATTCGACGTGAAGCCCAGTATACTGTTTACAATTTTGAAGAAAAAGTTTTATGTTTTGAAAGTTTTTGAAAAGAACAAATTTGAACCAAACTGCAAATATTTCTGGTTTTCAGCTGTGGGCTATGTTGAGTAAGTATTATTAAAATGGTTTATCAATGCACATTTTATGAATATTCTGATCAACAGGCCCATTTTCCAAGCAAAAACTGGAGAAATGAGATAAAAATTGAATCATACCAACTTCAAAGCCAGCAATGGTTGGCTGGAAAGGTTTAAGTCTCAACACAGCATCACCTTTAAATTGGTGTGTGGCGAACCTACTTCTGTCAGTACAAAGTCCAAAAATGATTTCTCAGGCAACTCAAGGCATCAAGACAAACTTTTCCAGAGAAGGCTGACTTCTTCATCAAACATCTTATCAGGAATTTTACTGGAATTATTGTTTTCAGCACTAGCATTGACCTATCCTTCCATGCTAAGACTAGTGGTATTTTGGGCATGGGCAAATGATGCTTTACGGAAGTATATCGATTGCATCTTTGATGTTGATTGTTAGTAGATTTTCTCCAGAATCAAAAAACACCAGCATTTTCCATACAATCCATTTTTGGTAGAAGCCCATGAAATTTTTGATCACACTCTGGTCCATCAGCTGCAGTTTCATTTTGTATTCACTCAGAGTAACACAAGATTTATAAATTTTAGGTTGTCTACGGTAGGGGTGAGCTGAGCAATTGTCAACAGACATGAAGAATTTTCTTTTCTGATGTTCGAACTTTTTATCTTCTTTGTGTATCCAATCCCTTAATAAATCACTATCCACCCATGCTTTTCTGTTTGCCTGATAAGTGGCAGGTAGAAAGTTCACATTCTTGAAACACCATTGCTTCTTTGATTACCCTATGAAGAATGGTGTCAGCTTTTCCAATCCATCCATATTTGCACACAACACAACAGTGATTCTTTCTTTGTTTTTCTTTCCTCCTAAACAGACTTCATTTTTGAATGTTAAAGTGTTATCAGACATCAAACAAAAAATAACCCAGTTTCATCAACCATATTATCAGCTGCATATGATGAAATTGAAATTTACAAGTCTCCATCTGATGATGATATTATTGCTTCCATACTGAAACAACAAAACAACAAGCCAGATGAAGCACTCCGTTATTCCCCATCATTGCTGAAGAAGTGCCTTCAACATCACAAGGCATGGATTGCCACGTAAAGCTACGCAATTTCTTCCGTTCTCATGAAAATGTTCAAACAACCATTTTTATGCAACTATCACAGATTGAAGATATGATGTTTTCTATACTGTGTTCAGGTCACCATCAAACCAAGATTACAGACTTTATTAAGTAAGATTTTGCCTTTTCATAATACAGTGATATAATTCTGTCTTGACATGTTGATGTTGTAAATAATCCCCTTTAGTTGGAAATATAAAAGATTGAAAGCTTAATTTTACTGTTACATGTACATTCACATGATGTTTGATGTGTGAAAAAACAACAACACTGCATTGTGGGGCATTGCAATTATGAAAGCCATAATTGCCAATTGGTTATAATGAACTGCTGTTATAGTGAATTATTTTGCTGGGTCCCTTGGTTTTTGTTATAACAAGGTTTGACTGTATTATTATTTTTCTATAAGTATAAAAATTATGATTATCCAAAAAGAAATTTATATACATATCATTATTAGACCACAGGCTAACAAGTATGATTTTTCTTTTTACTTTAGTATTATGCAGAGTTTGTTCTTTACAGTAAGCAAATTTCGTTATTCTCACAGCGCAACCTCTCTTCTTTAGTACACATATGGCGATACAGTGGATATGCTGCAGCCCACAAAGCTATGGAAACATACCATACAGATACAGAACTTCAGAAGCTTCAGAACGATCGAGTGAAACTTATACGTAATCGAGAAAATCAACTGATGTTAGCGTTTAGTTACTGGGGGCATCCAGAAGCTCAAAAACGGGACTGCAATTATGAAATGAGGTCTTATGTTTTAAAGGTTAGTTTCTATGAAATATGTAAAATGTTCTTGCTTCTATAGAAAAGTAACAAGAGAGTAAAGATATGGTAAAATATGGAGAATAATTTCATAAAAAATTTATAGTACTACAATACTATAGATGAAGTTAAAAATAGTTTGACAAACTTCACTGTAGATTGAGCTGAATGCTAAATATGAGGTATTAAAGGTTTTGCTACATTGCTTTAGCTATAAAAAGAAGGCATTGTTGAAACTGTAGTTTTCACTTTGGTCGTGCTTTTAGAATTTATGTTCCTCAGAACAAATTCCCTAAATAACAAAAAACTAATTATAACATGTTAACCCTCTTGCTATAGGTAAGTCAAAGTGTGCATGTTGCAATCTTTTAGGGTTACATTCAAAATTTAATTAAGCTGCTTTATTATCATCGTATGTGAATATACTTGGCATCAAAATGTAGTTAATGATTCAATTTTTAATATTATATAAATTTTACACTCTTACTTTTGTAATCAAATATTTAAAAAATCCTCAATCTCCTTTGAGAATTTTGATCTTTGTTCTCTAGATCTTTCCTCTTTAATTTATTTACCACCCCTCTGAGAAGTACAGAATTTAATGTAAATAACTTATTATAATTTATATATTACTAAGGCAAATTTTTATAACTGTCAATCATATTTATTTATGGAGCCATAAATTAGAAAATCAGACCCACTTGCCAAGCCCACCTATCACATCCTTTCTTTCACAAATTGCCAGTAATTCTGTCTGACATTTTATACTATACTTTTTAAAACTAATAGAAATTCAAAATTGTAATATATCAAATGACATATTATATTATGTTTTCTGTACAAAACATTGTTTATTTTGCCTTCAGTTTAAACCATTTTCTCACTATATTCACCTTGACAAACTTAGCTGAATTTTTAAAGGTACTCATCTCATAGTTAGAAGGCCAGCTAAATTATGATAGTTATAGGACATTGTTTGTTTTGTGCATGTTATTATTCTGTTTAGGTGCATTATATAATTAAATAAAAATTATTTAGTGTAGTAATACCATTAATATAAAAAGTAGGCTCAGGTGTCATTGACAGTTAACAGCAAAAAAACAAGAAGACCCGGGTAAGTACAACATATTATTTACATTTGTCTCCTGTATTAATATACAAGAAACTAAAATGTAAAAATTAGAAACTTACTAGATGAGATAAGGTTATGTTAGGAAAGAAAATTTTAAAATAATAATAATGAAATTCTTCACAAGGTATGCTCACGAGCAGCTCATGCATTGCATAATTCGATACAGTAACATGAGCTATGTGTTTGATGAGTGATTTACAATTTCTATGGTGGGATTATTAGTTAGACAGTTCATAAGGCAATAAAACAATACAGTTATGTATGAACGGATGTATACTTTTATGAGCTTTAAGGTATTTAGGACAAACAATTGTAGTTCATGTTACGATTTTCAGTCATTCTAGAAAAAATAAGGGTTAATTTAGATTTCTTTCATATTTTTTATGGTGGTTACAAGGTCGATCAAATTGACTGAATGATATAGAATTAGGGTTGAGAAAATAACAGATATAAAATATAAAGTTTTACTGAAAAAAAGTTTGATATTTATTTAGGAGATTTTAAAGATTACCCTAATGAAATTTTACAATTTTCAGAGAAAGAAAAGTATTTTTAGTTCTAACAAGAAAATCACTTTGCACTCTGACTCCATATATTTGTAGAGAAATTTTTAATAATAATACTTAATTAAAAAATCTGATATTTTGTGAACAAAAGACTTGTAATATTTAATGAAAGCTCACCATATTTTATGAAGATACACAAAACATATTAAAAATTATAGAATGGAAACTGATGGTCACTTTGGGATCATGAATTAGGTTGAATCAACTGAACTTGTAGTGAGAAAGTTAACTGTATTGTGGTACAGACCAAAGATAGCAGTAATTAATTTGTTATTGACAAATTAAAAGTTTGTATCACACTGTGTTACTGTAATTTGGTGGTATGGGATACTAAAATTCAGATCTGATAGTAGTTGAAAATAATCTTAGTAGTATCGAATCATGATAAAATTTTCATTGCATAATACCAAATTCTCCAATCAGTAGCAGCACTGTGTTATAGTAGTCCCTTATATTGGTATCTAGCAAAGGGCATCCTGATCATGTTTGTCAGATTTTTTAGTGAAATATTGTGGTAAGGGCACTTGACTCGCAATCTGAGGGTCGCAAGTTCGAAGACCTATCACACCAACCATGCTCACCCTTTCAGCCTGTGGGGACATTATAATGTGATGGTCAGTCCCATTATTCATTGGTAAAAGAGTAGCCCAAGAGTTGGTGGTGGTGTTGATGACTAGTTTCTTTCCTTCTAGTCTTTCACTGCTAAATTAGGGATAGCTAGTGCAGATAGCCCTCTTGTAGCTTTGCATAAAATTCAATACAAACCAAACCAATTAATGAAGTACTTTTACTAAAGATTTGTCTGTGAATATATATATATATATAATTTTTTTACTATTCCATGTGCAATGTGATTTTCACATTAAGATTAAAAATACTTTTCTTCATTTGAAAAGTATCAAATTTCTTTTGCATAACCTCTAAAACCTCCTAAATAAATTTCAAACATTTTTCAGTAAAACTTTATATTTTATCTGTTATTTTCTCAACCCTAACTCTATACCAAAAAAAAATTTAAAGAAATCTTAATTACCCTTTTTTCTTTCTAGAATGACTTCAAATTGTAACATAAAACTACATTCGTTTATCCTAAGTAGCATTAAACTGATAACAGTATACATCTATTTATAATTAAATTTTATTGTTTTATTGCTTTTTGACCCATGTTTAATTACTATTCGTGCCATTATAAGTTGTAAATTACTTAGCAAATGTGCAGCTCACGTTACACAGTCTAATTGCATTACACACAACTATTCCAAGCTGCTTGCAAATGTACCTTATGAAATAATTTGTATTATTATTATTTACTTTACATAATCTAATCCTAACTAATCTAAAAAGTTTCCTATTTTTACATTTTAGTTACTTTTATAACAACAAATAAAGAATACACATGATAAACAAGAAATATAGTACTTACTTGGGCCTTCTTTTTTTCTTTGTGTTGACTGTCAATGACACTGAACCCTACTATTTTATTCTGATGGTAGTACTGCACTAAATAATTTTATATTTAATTAAATAATGAATAAAGAACACAGAAAAATAACCTGCCAAAAGCAGACAATGTTCCTTAACTATCACAAATTTTCTGGTTTTCTAACTATGAGACAAGAGCCATTACAAATTAATCTAAGTTAGTTGATGTATTTCCCATGGGAATAAAGCTTGAACTGAAAGTGAAATTGACAATTCTTTGTACAGAAAACAACCTAATATAAAACGTCATTTGATAGATGAAAACCTTGGTTGTTAATAATATTGTACTGAATATCATAGAGAACTATTGACAATTTCTGAAAGAGAGATGTGACAGGAGGGTGTTGCAAGAGAGATCTGATTCTCTATTTGATTGCTCTTTAACCAAATAAGTTTTAAGGCTATACAAATTTTGCATTACCTCAGGGAATACAACATTATAATGAATAATTTATATCAAATTTCATACTTCTTGGAGGGGTGGTAAATAAATTAGAGAAGAGGGGAGCCTGGAGAGAAAATTCACAATTCTCTCACAAGGTAAAATTTAGGAGTTTTCTAAATTGTGTCTTAGGAAATTAAGAACTTAAAACTTTTATAATTTCAAAAAATTTGGATTATTAGCTACTTTTTTATGCTATACTTATTGGTATACTATGAAAAAATGTAGTTTAATTAAATTTTGAATGTAAATTGCTATAAACCTTGTGACATGCACAGTAAAGGATGCCCACAGTGAGAGGATTAATGATAGGTAATGACTGTTTATTTATATTTATTGATGAAATGTTCATTTAATATTAATCTATTTCTAGCTTTTTTTTCAAATATCAGAATTTTGCTATTTTACATACATAAAACTGTGCATTAATTCATCTCTGTGCTTTAATTCCAGAAATTCTGGATTTCTGAAGTACTGAGTAATTACCTACTTTTAGTTAATTAAGTGTAATAAACACTTCATACAGTGCTTAGTATAAACTAAATAAGTGCAATTTAGGATCTAAGTGTACAGTATAATCAGAGTTTGAAATTACAGGGACTTTCATACTGTAATGCAATTAAGTTTTTGTTTATTTTCAATAAATTATTTATGTAATAAATGTATTAAATGCGATTTTTGTTAAACTTGAATGATCTATACATCGAATCCTTAGTCACACTGTCATTCTGACTTGTTATTTTGCAGTTTTTGTGTTTGAGAACGTACTATGACTTTGCTTAGTTTCATATTGTGTTATACTAGAAAATTTTTCATGATACTAGTTGACAAGTTATCACCAAGTTACTAGGAAAACATTTATCTTATGTGTGTGTGTGTGTGTGTGCATAGGCTGTATATGTGATGTCAAGTATTTGTAAAACATTCTTCTGACAAATAAACAAGTAAAGAAGCAGTCAAATGAATAAATACATTTGTTATGCAAATAACAAATTTATCTGTGTCTTATGAAATTTTGAAGTGAGCTGAAGAATTTTTAAAAAAATCAACAGATTCATTATTTACAGGAAATTTCTCAGAGCTCGACAGAAATGAATGTTGGAACATTTTGAAAATTTTCTTCACAAATTACATGATATAAATGTTAAAAATTACAATATATCAGTTCTAAAAGATTTGTAAGTTGTTGAATTTTTTTTAAATAGAATTATTATCTTTACTTAAGTTTAGAAATTTCATTTGACGGTGTGCAGTCAACACCCGAAAAGTGCTCACTGGTTGTGGAATGGGTAGCAAGGCTAAAACTTAAGTTCCAAGATGATAATTCACCCTCACACACAGTTTAGCTATCTTCCTATTGCATCTGTCAGTGGTGGTTCAGCTTAATTGATTACTATCACAATTCACAAAAATAATCAGCTGATCAAAATTAGTGTTTCCAATTATAACTTTTTGCAATTATTCTAACTATCAAAGTTTCATGTAAGAATAGTTGATTTGTTGAATGTAATAAATTAACGAGTCAAACAATTCATCATTTAATAAATTCTTCTAATTGCCAAGATCTAACAAACTGACAACCCATGCTACTCTCTGGCTAGCAGTAATGTTTGCATTTTCCAGATCTGTTGGAAAAACGTAATTGTGGGTGAAATGTTAGCAAATGTAGTTTATATGAGAACATTTACATAATTTTTAATAAAATGTGTGTGTTTCTTTAAGGCTGCCCAGTAACTATTAACTTATTTTATCTTTGTGACTAGCACTACAAGTTTACATAACTTTTTAATATTTTCCTGAATTTATATCAATAGAAAATGAATTTATTTTGTAAGGTTTGTGATTTTTTATT